AGCTTGTTCAAATAAATATTTTGCTCAAGTATGCAGCTCGCTTCGATAATGCAATTTATGTATGGATAACAGATCCCCCTTCCATCTCCACCCCTCCCCTCCTCCCCCTCTCTGGCGCACTGAGAGAGCAGCCAGAAAACCAGTTGGCGTCCATTCAGATTTAGTGTAAAAATGCAGTCCATGAAATGAAATAAATATGCAAGTAAATGCATGTTGCATATTCATGTCCACAGTTGAGATGCCAACTGTGTGCTGAACTGATAAATTAAACAATCCAAACTTTAAATGCAATTGCATTGCAAATTTGTGGCTAGAAAACGCGACTAGAAAGTCGCCTGCAAATGGCAAATGCGAAATGGCAAATGGGAAATGCGAAATGGGAAATGGCAAATGGAAAATGGCAATGGAAATGCAGCTAAAGACAAAATTTATGCGCTGTACTCGTTAGTTTTGATGTCTTTGATGCCACCTGACAGACGGGTAGGCCAGAGGGGGAGGGGGTTAGGGGGCAGGTTGTGAATATGGGGTGGGGATTAAGCACTTGTTCAGGCAAGATTTAAATGTGACAGGGGAAAGAAGCTTGGCTCAGTTGAACGAAAATTGAATACCCTTAAATTTAATTATAATATCTATTAAGCCAAAAATTTCTATATTAAATAATTGTTACCATTGCAGCTATATAAAATATAGTATATATACAATTGTTGACATTCTTTTAGATATATTCAGAAACTAAAGAGTTTTTCAGACAAAAACTGAAATATTGATTGGTTGTCTCTATGACAGCTTGTCTCAAACTAATATAATTTGATAGTTAGCCGATTCGAGCTGTGCATATAAATATTTGCTTATAACAACAAAAAGAACCTCTGTAGAAAGTTTTATCGACCTAGCTTCAAAACTCGCCGAGTTCACAAAGTCAGCTTAATAGATGTCTGATCTAATCAAAGAATTATAATAAAATCAACAAAAACTAAAATTTTGATCGAAAGTCTCTTTGTCAGCTATATGATATAGTAGGCTGATCGGAGCGGTTCAAATATATTCAGTAAGAGTAATAAAAAGAAACTTAGTCATCCGACTAGCTAGATGGATATATCATATATGGTTTTTTCAACAAGCTGTTTGAAAGGAGCAATAAAAATGTCTCCGTCAGAATGTTACACAATTCTTGACCAGTTATATATACCCTTTATGTGAGGGCATGCGCCATATGTTATACTGGGCCCACGATCCGTCACCTTAAAGCTATAATTCTCGCGTCTTGAGCTGTGCTGCGATAATTAGATGCGCCTCTTTGATAACTCAATGAATATTCACAGTTCTCTGAAGACAGGCAGCCAGTCAGCCAGGCTTTGAGCCTAGAAAGTTAACACTCTGGGAATAGCCCATTGGGGGTCGTGATGTGAAAGCCCAAAAGATTTATGCCTGGCTGGCAAATAGTACAGCTACAAAGTAGCTAATGTCTAGAAGATGTGCACACTTGCCGCATTCTCAAATGCAAATTCGCCAATTCGCACACATAAAACAAACAGCGAAATTCATGTGAAATCGTCATCGTCGTCGTCGTCGTCTCCGTAATTACGGGCAATTTTCCATGAATTTATTAACATTGGCAGCCAAAATGCGGTGCGCAGTTTAAGAGCTGCTTAAGTGCCCCCTTTTTTCCATAACAGCTGATGCCGTGCCACGACAAATCCACCCCCTTCCCCTTCCCCTTTAAGCAAACAGACCATAAATAGTATAAATTTCCACATGACACGCGATGATTATGCACTCTTGAAAGCATGTTAAAGGCGAGGGGGCATCATCAGGCTGCATCTGATACATCATTTGCGTACAGCTGGCAACTCTTAATTACACAAAGCCCCAGCGACAATGATGAGCCAATCCACCCCCCCTTCGCGCGGACCCAGTTCCATTCTCAGTGCCATTCTCAACTGTTTCCAGTTCAAATCGCAGCGCTTTCATTTGGCAAGTGCGACGTCGTCGGCTTTTCATTGATAGCTTCCCCGTTCTCCCAATCTCTCTAAGCCCCTCTCACCCCCCCTCCTCAGACATACTCTCGCTACGCCTCTGTGCATGTTTGATCGTGTGTCATGCTCAGAGCTCATCTGCATGCTCATATCTTCGTCATCTTCGGCTTCAGTTGCTTCAATTGTCCCCTACACAGACCTCGGGTGTTCTGTCTCTGTTTCTTATTAGCTCAAGCCCCCCCCCCCCTTCTCCCCTCCCACTCACCATCTCAAGGGAGGAGGGCCTGGAACTGGTGACTGGGACTCGGTTCGGGTACGGGCCAGCAACTGGGCAATCAGTAGGCAAAAATTCCATGAATTAATTTCAGTTTTGCATGTTGTTATTTATTAAAATTTTATTTTGCGTTTTACTCAAGCCGCGCGCGATTCTCTTTCATAGCTGCCGCTTTTCATGCCACTGTTTATGCCCTCTGTCTAGTCTGTGAGTGTGTCTGTGTGTGTGTACTCTGAGCTAGTTATTTTTCATAATTTTTTTGTGATTCTTATCATTGAGCTGCCAGTGTTTGTTGTGGGATGTTTCTGCATTGCACAAAACACTGAAGAACAAAAATTATGCCACAAAATAAAATATTTATATAAAATAAGAATCTATAAATAAACCACAGAGAAATGGCATTAAAATCTGAACCCCCATTTTTTGGTCGAAATTCATGTCCAAAGCTTACCCCGAAATTCGTATATAGACCTGGGTCAAAATTTCCCATCTCCATAACTCGGTCAAATCTCATCAGATTTTCACGAGGTTTGGCTTTTTATTCATGGTTTTCCCTCTATATTAATTTGGCATTAAAGTATGAATACCTATTTTTTGGTCGAAATTCATGTCCAAATCTTACCCCAAGATTCGTATATAGACATGGGTCGTAATTTCAAATCCCCATAACTCGGTCAAATCTCATCAGATTTTCACGAGGTTTGGTTTTTATTCATGGTTTTCCCTCTATATTAATCTGGCATTAAAATATGAACACCCATTTTTTGGTCGAATTCATGTCGAAATCCTACCCCGAGATTCGTATGTAGACATGGGTCAAAATTTCCCATCTCCATAACTCGGTCAAATTTCATCAGATTTTCACAAGGTTTGGTTTTTATTCATGGTTTTCCCTCTATATTAATTTGGCATTAAAGTCTGAATACCTATTTTTTGGTCGAAATTCATGTCCAAATCTTACCCCAAGATTCGTATATAGACATGGGTCGTAATTTCAAATCCCCATAACTCGGTCAAATCTCATCAGATTTTCACGAGGTTTGGTTTTTATTCATGGTTTTCCCTCTTTATTAATCTGACATTAAAATCTGAACACCCATTTTTTGGTCGATATTCATGTCCAAACCCTACCCCGAGATTCGTATGTAGACATGGGTCAAAATTTCCCGTATCCATAACTCGGTCAAATCTCTTCAGATTTTCACGAGGTTTGGCTTTTTATTCATGGTTTTCCCTCTTTATTAATCTGGCATTAAAATCTGAACACCCATTTTTTGGTCGAAATTCATGTCCAAATCCTACCCCGAGATTCGTATGTAGACATGGGTCAAAATTTCCCATATCCATAACTCGGTCAAATCTCATCAGATTTTCACGAGGTTTGGTTTTTTATTCATGGTTTTCCCTCTATATTAATCTGGCATTAAAACCTGAATACCTATTTTCTGGTCGAAATTCATGTCCAAATCTTACCCCGAGATTCGTATATAGACATGGGTCAAAATTTCCCATATCCATAACTCGGTCAAATCTCATCAGATTTTCACGAGGTTTGGTTTTTTATTCATGGTTTTCCCTCTATATTAATTTGGCATTAAAGTCTGAATACCTATTTTTTGGTCGAAATTCATGTCCAAATCTTTCTCCGAGATTCGTATATAGACATGGGTCAAAATTTCCCATCTCCATAACTCGGTCAAATTTCATCAGATTTTCAAGAGGGTTGGCTTTTTATTCATGGTTTTCCCTCTATATTAATTTGGCATTAAAGTCTGAATACCTATTTTTTGGTCGAAATTCATGTCCAAATCTTACCCCGAGATTCGTATATAGACATGGGTCAAAACTTCCCATCCCCACAACACAAAACTTCCCTCCCCCATAACTCGGCAAATCACGTTTACAGGATCCTCGTCCCATTGAAAAAGGCCTTGTTAAAATTTCTTTGATAATTATTTACTTTTTTATTAATTTTTTTAATAAATTTTCATTTTTATACATTTTAAAATTCTATTAGTACAAGTTTTAATATATATTTTTGCCTTCTCTTTTGTTTAGTTTTTATAATTTACAATTACAAATGTGTGTGTTTCTGATAAATTCAATTGGTTTTCTGTTACAAGTTTCATATTTTTTTATATAGTATATTTAAATTTAAATTAAAATGTTTTTTAATTTCTTGAATTGTTAGTTTGCTTGCCCATAACATACAAAGTACTGCTAAATATTAATTTATTTATTGTTTTTGTTTTTTGTTGTTGTTTAGTTTTTGTTTAAATTAAAATTAAAAATCATTCAATTGATTATCACAGTATTCACGAAAAAATAAATATGCTTAAAAGTTGGTTTTATGAATTTTTAAAATATTTCTTTTTCATGTTTTTATTATTTTGTTAGTGAAATTATTCGCTAGAAACTGTTTTTTACTGACTTGAATCTACACAGAAAGACGTCTTAGGCTAAACTTTACTTAAATATTAATCATACGCCGTGTAGAACCGGATATTTTTATTTCCAAAAATTGAATACATATGCCCACAGTGCGCGCACAGTGGGCAATTGCATGAAATTTTTGGCGTAAAATGTTGGTGTTCAAGTGAACAAGTTCCAGTTCACAGGCAACGTTCACTTGAGCAGCGACATTTTTGCGCTACTTTTCTTATGCAAGTATTTCTTTTATATATATATATATATATATATATATATATATATATATATATTTAATTTGTTATAATAAATACCAATAATAGTTAACATAAAACAAAACACAGAGCCACATGCGTGTGTATGTGTGTGGGTGTGCGTGTGTGTGTGCGTGTGTGTGATTGGTTCTTGAAACCGAATCATAGTTAAAATTTATGCTAATATTTGATGTGTTTTGCGACTTTGAACCTGCAAAGAAGAGCAAAGATAAGGGAAAATTTAGTTAGAAAAAATATGTAAAATATGTGAAGAAGTATTTAGGTAAATTTAAAAAAAAGAATATAAAAATTAAATGAAAACTATTTCAAATACAAAAAAAAAATTATTTGAATACAAAATATATATTTTAATAATATAAAATTATTTTTAAATTATTTTTTATTAATTGATTGTATATACTTTTTTTACTTTTCGAGTTTTTTTTTATAAACAATTATGACTACAATTTTTCTATTTCAAATATTTGTTAAAAAATGTTCTTTGGAACCATTTTCTTGAACTAGTTCATCTGTAAAAAGTTTCTGTATGCTTACTCATATGTGAAATTGAACTAGTTCTTGGTTCAACTTCTCATAATATACACTATGTGAAAAGCTAATGGAAAACATGTAACAGAACAGAACAGAAAAGTAATATTTGCTTTTCAATTGTCTCGAATGTTTTAAAGGTATTATATATCATATAATATTATATTATATATTATCTGTATTATTTTTATATATTATATATTATATTATATAATATATCATACAATTATATATTAATTTGTTACTCACCTGCTTCTAGTTAGTTAAGCTGTGCGCTTTGTTTTTTATGGTCTGCGCACATTGCACTGTCTGTGTCCCAATCTTAGAGTTGCGATTTTGCCACTGGCCGCCAGCTCTAGTGGAGCATGTAGGGCGACTCGTCATCGTCGGCGCCCGTGGGGCTGTCGAGCGAGGGATTGATGCGCTTCTCTTTCTGGCGGCGATTGCAGAACCAGACGCGCACCACCTCCTTCTCCATGCCGAGGCGATCGGCCAGCTGGCTGATCTCCTCGGAGGTGGGTTTCTGGTTGGCCATAAAGGCCTTCTCCAGAGCACCGCGAATCGTGGTCTCAATCGAGGTGCGCTTCTTGCGCCGCCTTCCAATGATCTCCGGCGTGCTGACCGTCGCCTGCAGCGCGGCCGGATCGAAGACGCCGCCGGTGGCCTGAATGGTGCGATCAGCATCGTCCAGCCATTTTTGCAGCAGCGGCTTCAGCTTGCACATGTTCTTGAAGCTGAGATTGAGAGCCTCGAAGCGCGAGATGGTCGTCTGGGAGAAATCGTTGCCATAGAGCTTGCCCATGGCCAGGCCGACATCGCCCTGGGTGAAGCCGAGCTTAATGCGACGCTGTTTGAACGTCTTGGCGAACTGCTCCAGCTCCTCCAGATCGGTGGTCTCCTCCGGCGAGGGCTCGCCCGCGGCACGCGCCGCCGCCGCGCTGGCCACAGTCTTCGGCTGCGGCGTCTGGCTGTGATTGTGATTGTGGGTGCCGCTGGTGGGCGTGCTGGGCGTAAGCATGCCGCTCAGCTTAAGGCTGGCCGCCGAATTGGGCGGCGTTATCTGCAGCGGATGATGCGACGCCTGCTGCGACTGCGGCGAGCTGGCCGGACTGCGCACCGGCGCCGGACTGCGTGCATGTGGCGTCGAGCTGCGCGGCTGCAGCAGCGGCGATTTGCAGAGCGAGAGCGATTCCTGCTGCTTCTGCAGCGCCTGCAGCTGCTGCGTGGCCTGGGCCAGTGCCTGCATCTGGCTCTGCATGAGGAACTGGGCCGCGGCCACCTGTGTGGCCAGCGCGGGATCGTCCTGCGGCAGGCCCAGCGAGCCGCTCCGCAGCAGCTCCATGTAGCTATTGAATTGCTGCTGTAGCGCCACCTGCCGCTGCTGCAGCAGCTGCTGGAACTGGGCGAAGTCCTGCGGCGAAATGGAGCCCGCCAGCAGCGGATTGTTCAGCCCGAGGCCAGCGGCCGCGGCGAATTGCGCCTGCGGCGAGGACAGCCCGGGCAGTGCGAGCAGCGGCTGCATGCCGCTGGCCACGCTCGTGGCGACGGCTGCCGCTGCCGCCGCCGCTGCTGCCATTGTGGTGGGCGTACCCACGTTGGGTGGCAGCACGGGCGAAATGGGCGGCGGCGCCGCTAACTGACTGGGAGGCGTGGCAGCCGTCGATTTAACCGAATTCGCCGGCGACTGAGTGCTGTGTCGCGAATTGTCGCTGGTCAGATTGAGAGCGCCGCCATTGGCATCATCGTAATCCTCGTCCGGCTGCTCCAGCTTGTACACCTGCTGCTGCTGCTGCTGCTGATGGTGATGGTGATTCGTGTGGTGATTCGTGTGATGCTGGTAATGGTGCGCCGGATGCGGCTGCATTGCGAGCAGCTGTCGCTTCGCCTGCTGCAGCGACAGGGCCGGACTCAGGGGCGATCGACAGCGATCGCTGGAGGTGCCCACGCTCGAGTTGTTGTCATCGCAATCCGAAGCTGCAATGCGGGGAGAGAGGAAGAGAAATATTGCAGAAATTGTTTATGTCTGAAGGGGGGAATGCAAATTGGGGCAGAGCTAAATGCATGCTGGGAATTTGAGGGAAATTGAGCTAGTTCGAGATTATCAAAAGGCATTTGAAGAACTTCTGAAACAATTTGCAAAACAAACTGCAAAATGGTTTATAGGTATAATGGAATAATTTATATTGTTATAGAAGATAGAAAAAAAAAGTTCCATTAAGAGAACTGGTTCTATTGGAACACAAAGAAAGCTCAAAATGGATCTAGCTCAAATTTAACACATTTTTAGTCTACGAATAACTAGTTCTAATAACCCACTGTGAACTATTTCTTAGAAAGCAGCATGCATGATCAATAAAGAACTAGTTCATGCAGAGCAACCATGTGAGAGCAAAATGAACTGCTACTAGTGGATCACCATGTAGAACTATAAAGAACTAGTTCACATGAAAGCTCTGTATGACAAAGAATCCATCAGCGACCTCTGCAGCTTTTCTGAAACCCTTTCTCTAGCTAAAGAAAATACCACTCACAACTCCTTAAAAAAAAAAAAACTATTTACGAATCGATTAAAGACATCGAAGCCCGCCTCCGCCCCCGCTCTACCAAATTAAACATCTACTAAACACCCCATCAACCCAGGCCGGAATGTCCTTTGCATAACTTTAGCATAGACCGGAATGTGTTTGCATAATTTTCGATACAATTTCATAGTCCGTTGGCTTTTGTTGTGGGTGAAAGGCTTTTTCGGGCCCACACAAGCGTGGCTCGTATTATGCGCGGAGGGTTCTCTTTAGCCACCCAGGCGCGCCCCTCCCACAACCCGCCTCCCTCATAGTTTACATAGTTAGTTTACCTTTCGGCCACATACGTTGCGCAACAGTAGATCAAATGGAATTCTCGTGTTTTCTTTTCATTTTGGCTGCTGCTCTCGAGTGCCATTTTAGCATTTCAAATGCTGCGGCCAGCGATTTGTATAAATTTGCTATTTCTATGCATTTTATTTGCACAAAGGCGTAGTCAATGAGGGTAAGCGGGGAAGGGGGGGGGGGACCACTCAATTGATTTGCAATAATATTTAAATGCGTCAGTTCATTTTTTTTTTTTTTTAGGCTAAACTTTTGCCCGACAATCAAAAGTTGCAAACCCTTTTCAAAGACAGCCCCTTTGAAGTAGAGCCCCAACCCCCTTCTCATACACTCTTCTATTAAAATCTCAATTGTGGCATTTCGGTTTTGCCAATTTCCCATGGCCACATCCTGGCAACCAACTGGTCAGTCAGCTGTGTCCAGTCGCAGGCCCAACAACAACAACAACAACAAGAGCAATTTTTGCATATGTTTGGCCACAGAGGAGGCTACTTTATGACTTGTGGCTCCGGCTGGTGGTGGTGGATGCTACGTGAATTTGATGACTTATTCGAACGAGTGGGTGCCTTACAGTCATCTGCTGCTGCGGCTGCTGCGGCAGAGTAAATTTCTGTTAAGGCTACGTGCGGCCATTTGCTATTCAGATGATGTGCAAATTCGATTTGTATGTGTTGTGTGAAGAACTGAACGCAGTGGCTTAGGCAAAGCATTTAACGGGGGTTATTAGCTGCTAAAATATATAACAAAAATTTGGTTTATCTAGCTCAAGGAACAGCTGAGTTACTAAAGGTTTGTCTAACTAGGGCTAGTACTTCACAGTGAAAAATTGATAATTGAAGTGTTGTCTAAATTATAGTGCAAATTGCAGGTTGATATCTTTTCCAGAAGTCGAGTTACAATAGTTAGTTTTGTTATTAAGAGAGATATCAAGCCGGAAATAATTTGTAGAGAAAAATAAAGGTTCCTTCTGTAGCTAAGGTAGTTGTGTAGTTATGCCCCCCTTTAAGGGACGCCTCTGCTTTTTTGGCCAGCCAATAAAAAAGCCAAATGGTCAGTTTGACTTGCACACATACGTCCACAGCTCCCACACTCGTGCATAACGGCATAATTTTTGCATAAAATATATGTAAATATGTGTTCATTCGGTAGCAAAAAGAAAAAATAAAACGAAAAAAGGGAGCGCAAGAAATCACAGCAACTGGGTACCACACACACACACACACACACACAAGCACACACATGTGAGAATTCAAATCAAGCGAAATGCTGTCAATAATATAAAAGAGAAGAAAAAAAAAAAAAAGGTCCAGGAACTCTGGACCCTGGACCAAGCCGTGACTAACGAAGTTCGGAACGTGGGCGTGCTAAATATACATATGCATGGTATTTGATAAAGATGATGATGATGATGATGATGATGTTGTTGTCGATGATGATGATGATAATGATGATGACGATGTTGTTGCCATGAAATTTGTAAAGTGTGAATTGCAAATTTAACGCAGTTCAGACACACAAAATAACGAGCTATGAATAATAATGCGCAGCCATGAATACCAAAAAGTCAAATTTAAACAAGTATCTATCTAAAGATAGATCCCTGCTCGTGGGCAATTAGTTTACGCCCCGACAATTTCGATGACAACCCTAGAGCAGACAATTGGCCACGCCTCCAAATGACACTGACAATTGTCACCTAATGCACGCGCACTCAAGAAGCTGTTAAACCAGAAAGGCAGCAAAACCATTTAATAAGACATCAAAATCAACTTAAAGATATAGCCAGAGTTACCCCCACCACTTTGCCGCACTCAGCCCTACTAAATCAGAGGCTCGTGTGCGACAAAAGTTTTGACAGCCATTGTTGAGTTACAGTTCCCCTAACTTCGCACAATGCGTAACCCTAGCCCTAACCCTAAATAGACATTGAGATTGGAAATGGAAACCCTGAGCCCTAACCCTGGGCACAGCGCGTGGCCGGCGAGCGCGCAGTTCTGATTGCAAGGGTTGCTTCGGCAGCTCGAGCCTCGAACCTCGCATTTTCCAATCGTATTTTATTGTCTCATCTTTGGGCAGATGTTACGGAAAAATATGTTTTCCAAGTGGACAAATCCTAAATGCTCGGACAACAGCTGATGCCGCGACTTGCCCCCTAATGGAACTTCGGCTTCGGTTGCGACTTTAAAGAGCTGAAAATGTATTCAAGTAAAGCACTTACCGTTCGATTGCAGCGGCGAAGGCGAACGCGACAGTCGGCTGATATCTGCAAGAGAGAGAGAGAGAGAGAGAGATGCATCGGTTAGTCGTGGAAAACTTCTTAATTTTAGGCAGCCAGCAGCAGGCGACAGCACGTTTCAGGCATAAACTGGGCAAATTTAAAAGGAATGCAACAGAGAGGGAGGGAGAGGAGTGGAAACTGAATCGATATTCGATACGTTTTAGCTAACTGACCAAATGGCCGCAGACAGGACACGCTGCTGCATTAAAGGATATTTTTATGGCCAGCACCTGGTGCACACTGTCTGTAGCCCCCCCTTCATTCCTCCCTCTACCCCTTCTCCACACACAATTTGAATTTGTACATATTTCGTTGAGTGCATTTTATGGCCACAATTGGGGCGCGTCCTCGACTCAACTCGGTCTCTGCTGGCTAATTTATGAGTCTGAGATCGATTGGAAGCAAAATGTCTGTTGCATGCAACTCGTTTTTAGCAACATTTTAGTGCGGCATTTTTTATGGTAATCGAATGACTATACGAAGGTTTTTCCGGGCAGAAAGGAAAAACGTGAATGTAACTAATCTAGGTCTATACGAAATTCAAATAAAATGTAGTCTCATGACAGACAAAGCATAATGTTTGAATAATAGAAGAGATCTTATTATGCGACATCTTGAAAATGTAGAGCTAATCATAACTCGAGAACTATATTAGCTAGTTAAACAGACTTTGGTATGCAGCTTCTCTTAGACTATACACAAGTTTTCTCCTCAGCATTTTCTATATATCCGCTATAGAAACCGAGTTATAATCGAATGTATTCCGCTTATTAAAGCAACTTCTATCGTATCTGAGCGATTCCTTTAACAATCCTATTTATTACAACAAGAATGACAATTTTCTTGCTGCCATAAATTCCGACTAGGTGATTTGTTAATTCGAAAGAGTTCTTATCGAGTGCTCATAAAGTAAACGCCGTTAATCTTTTTTGGCCAAGTGTGGGCATAAATTAGCCTGAATGGGCCAGGGAATGGCCACAGAGCGTGTTTTTCTTAATAAAAAAGATTATGTATTTTATTATATATACATAAATATATACAATCTGGAGTGTCTTATATAATATTAAGGTGCGTGGATTCTTTTCAGAGATCTTTCAGATATTTCTGATGCAATTAAATTTGGGATCGCTCAGATATGAGCCATTTTCGGTTGTAACTCGACTTCTATATAGAGTATATAGAAAGTGTCAATGAAAAAATTTGTATATACTCTACAAGAAGCTGCATACCAAAGTCGGTTCATCTAACTTCAATAGTTCTCGAGTTATGCTTAGTTCAGTTTTACATTTCTCCCAAGATGTTGCCCAACTGTTGTCACACACACACACACACACACACACACGCACTTCTGGCACACTTTTCTCTCGCCTTTTCGTTGACTAATTAAGCGACAACTGTTGTTGTTGTTGTTGTTGTTGCTGCCACACTTCAGCAGCAATTCAAGAACTCGTCCACTCAAGTGGCAACCGAAAAAGTAGAAGGAGAAGGAAAGAGATCTCAGATCTATGCCGATATGTGGCATATGTGCCGTGAAAACGTGTATGCCTGCGCCTTGGACCTACCCCTGCCCCACCGAGCTGCCACTGACCCTGCCACGTACCCCTACCCCTACCCCGTGCCGTTGCCTGAGCTAACCCAATCAAGGCGCTGGCACTTAAGGCCTCGGCGAGCCAAACTAATTTTCAACAGCAACAAAAACTGCGCGTTAAAATGCCACATAAATTATGCAGCCCATTTTGAAAAGCCACCCCCGCTGCCAGCAGGGCGAAGGGGGCGAGGGGAGTGGATGGAACGCGTGCCGCGCAGCGAGTCAAAAACTGCGGAAAATCGGAAAAGCGCAACATTTGACGAAAAACGAATTAAAAATTTCGAGGCCAAAAATTTGAACAAATGCAAAAACCACAGACGAAAAACGCAGCGGGTAACTTTAAATGAGAGAGAGCGAGAGAGAAAGAGAGTGGGAGGGAGAGCGAGAGAGAGAGAGAGAGAAAGGGGGCCAATTGCGAGGCGACGAGCCTGACTAATTGAATAAATGCTAAAAATAGCTAAATAAGTTGCCAAAAAGCAGCCAAAACAGCTTAAAATAGCACACGCCAGAATACAGCCAAATTTGGCTGGATAAAGCCAAAATAGCAGGACTGAGGCGAGCGTGCAAAAGGAGAGATACTTTTGCACAATTAGTCAATGACCTCGACAGCTGTGTGTGTGTGTGAGTGTGTGTGGGTGTAACCTAACTGTGTGTGTGTGAGTGTGTGTGGCACATCACGTGCGCAGACTGAATATGGCTATCGATTGACTCGTCGTCGGAAGCTGCGTGTCTTGAACTCTTGACCCCGCCGTAGCTGTGCGTGCGGCAGCTTCTTGTGTCCTTTGCTTTGTGCGTATATGCGTAGCAAAACAAACAGAGAGAGAGAGTGAGAGAGAGTGAAAGAGGGAGAGATGCCCCTGCAACGGAAGTCGATTTCCGCAACGATAACCAAAAATTAATCGATAATTTTTGTGCAAATTTACGCCAACTGCATTTGTCCAGCTTGTTTTTATCTTCTGTTTAGCTGTATTTTTTTTTTGCTTTTTATTGGGCCTTTTTCTTGGAACTGGCCATAAAAAAAAATGCACACGCCCTCTTTCTTGACCAGTTCACCTAATCGACGATAACAGAAATTAGCCTTGTACTAATTCATCCTCTTCCTCTTCTTCTAGTTGAGCGTTATCGTGCGGTTATGAGCTCATATGACGATCACGGCTAAAAATAATCGACGTGTTGTCGTCAATCGGTCGAAACAAATCGAAGCATATTAATTTAAAACTTATTGTCGAACGATTTATTTATTGTAATCAACGCAGTTTTGTGCTTTTTTTTTTTACTATTTCTTTTGCGTCGGACTATGACGAAATTTGTTTACCAAGAACTTTTTGGAGCAGCATTACGTGTAGTCCTATATTTTTTCTTTTTTTTGTTCATTTCGTTCTGGTGCAGGTGTGCCTGAAGATAAGCGCACTGAAAAAAAAAATATCAAGAGAGCCAAGATAACCGCGTGTATATGGAAATCATGGGACTCGGACATATTTAATCGGTTGCCACGATAAGAAGGCATTCGGCTTACCGCAAAACTTAAGACTTATATATATTTGTATAAAAAAAAAAAAACTATACTTGAGATTTTAGTGGCACAAATGGCACTTGATATATAATCTATCTATGACCCATTAAATTCGTACATTAACAATCCATCATCATTTTCTGTTATTAATTATACGAATCAAGCGAATGCTGCCCAATTTCACAAACCCTTCATATATGGAGTTTTATAAAGGAAGCTATTTTTTAGCATATATATGTATATATATATGGTTCCCAAGGAGTCTATATCATTTATTATATCATTTATTACTTCTAGTTCTTATAACATAAGAACATATCTTATCTTTTGTGCTCAAATTGATTTGAAATATCTAACTATAAATATTTCAGACTCTTTATATCTTATAAGAATTAACTTTATAGCTAATATCGAGTATGCCATATAGCATATTATATGACAATATACTTGTCGTTTATTGTCATCAAGCCAGAATGTCTAACTAATTTCTGCTGCCAGTGTTATGTAACATGAAGATATTAAGCTTACTCTAGTAGAAGAGATAGAGATAGAGTTAATATATATACCATATGCTTTACGTAACTGTCTTCTTTATATATATAATATCTTCCCGATCTCTTCTCAATTCAAATTAAACTATAATCTCTGCAATTACTTTCCCCACTTACAACACTAGTTAGCCCACATTCTATGGCCAGTGTTGTACAATGTATACAACGCATTTACGTATTTTATTTATCACGCCTGATAAGCAACTAAAAATCGTATTGTTTATAAGAGGCTTCGCCTGTTACATGGTCATTTTACTCGAATTGCTCGAATTGTGTAAGAAATGCGTCTTTAATAAATTCATTTATTATTTTTTTTTTTTTTATGACCAGTGTTCGTCAGTTAGTTGTAGTTGAGTAGTTCTGTGCTTGGCACGACAACAAGTGCGCGCTTAAGTGGGTCGCACCGTCGGCAGGGCGGAGGCGGGCTTGGGGGTAGGGGGGAAAATGTGATATTTATTTATGACAGGGACACCTGGGCCTCAAGTCGAGCCGGTGCAGCTGGTGGGTGGCTCTGCTTTGGCTGCTTGCAGCGGCAGCTGATGAGTCAGCCACTCATTATAATAATAAGCAATTCGATTAGTAATACTAATACTTAAATCAAATGCATTAATTAATAACAATATCAAGGCAATACGCAGCAAGCTTACGCATGAGAGAATTTGCAATTTCTAAGATCTGACTGTGAATCAGACTTTTGAAGTCACATTGGAATTGCTTATATAATTATTTATAAAATCTAAAAATATTTTATATAAATATTTAATAGATCAGCTATTTTCATAGTTGAAAGATTTCCGAAATATATAAAAACTATGCTGAATAAATATATAATACCATAAATAAATAGAAAAAGTTTCAATTGGATTATGACAAGGATTTCTCTTCAGTCAGAAAGATTCTGATAAATTCTAGAGCCCAGTAAAAGTTGGTTGAGCCAGACAATAAAATAATTTATTGGATAATTAATTGGAATAGTTTTTAATATAAGTATTAGATATGAATAATCGTTGAAAAATTCTAGTAATATTTAAATGTTATGGAATTGTATTTCAAGTATACAAAATAGACCCAAAATAGTTATACAAATTGTTGAACTAGAACTATACAAAATATAGTTCTAATAGAAAATCTATAGATTCCTTGAAACTCATTAAGAGTCCATTAAATATGATTCGACAAATTGAAACGAAGCGCAACTTTTCGATAAGAACTACGCGAAACTCTTATCATTTAATTTCCAAAAAAATATTCTCTATTTAAGAAATAGTTTTTATCTAAAACTTACATCGATTCTGCATCATGTGCACGGCAGCGTCTCGAGCGCTGTTGTTGT